GTATCCTACTGTGTTAGTCTGGATAGACTAAAGAAACAAATTCATAGACACTCATATGGGTATAAGAAAGAGCTTTGTATACAAGGGCAATTGAATATTGAGAAACCCTCCCAGCCCAGTCCAGATCAAATCCTTACATCCGATATTTGCCCATATGCCCGATACCAATCTATAAAGTCCTCTTCAGACTCAAGAAAAACATATAATGGCACCCAATGCGGGAAGATCACAGGCCAGCGGGTGGGATGTCTTGTGGATCCAGTGGCGTTGTCAGCATCTCAGTGCTGGCAGGGGTCTCTACAAGGCTCCTTCAGCTCCAGGGCATAGCTCCATGTGTATTGTCTGCAGGAATGTCTTACAGGGAGTCAACAGGTGGCCCGCCTTCCAGCGAGCTATTTTATCTCCTTAGCATCTCCAAATGAGGTCATCGAGCTGTGACCTGACTGACAGGCTAAACTCCACTCCGTTCGCTCTTACGTCTCAAAGTGACAACAGATTACCTAACTACCACACCTACCGTTGTCATCTGGAACCTTGTCTACAGCCCTTGAAAGTAGGGGCTTCCAACAAACGCTGGCATGGTGGAGACCTCTACTCAGAGACTGTCTGTAGTTTCCTTCCCTCTATTAAGCTCCCCGGCCTGGCACTCAGGGCCCTCTGTACTCTGCCTCAACTTCTACTGGAACACCTTCCCTGCATCCCATATTAAAATGACTCATTCTTCTCCACACCCCAGACATGCTGTTCTCTCTGAGGAACGCCCTTCCCTCAGGTCGCCTGGCAAGCCTGCCCGCAGCAAGCTTCCCAGGCTGAGTGCATGCATGGATAACTCTTGCCTAGACACAGCGCACTGCATCACTCTTTCGGTTCCAGGTCAGGCCAGGACAGGTATTCCTGAAAAGCCCTCAGCCAAGTACGCAAAGCTCCCTGAGCTCCTGGTGGAATCTAGGATCATCCCCTCTTCCACTTAGGAAGAAGACTTTGCGTCTCAGCCCAACAAGACCCCTCTACCTTGTGCTGATGAGGACAACCCAAGAGTGGCTCTTCCTTTCCCAGGTAAAGCGGGGCCGGCCAATTGTTTTGGAGTGGGGAGAGACATAAGGAGGCAGAAGTGAAGAGCTTCCAAGTGAGAACGGTATGAAACGTGGGGATCCAGCCCCCCAGCCCATCCTTCTTCCCTCTTCAGCTCCTTGGCCGGAGCTGAGTCTCACATTCACAGTGTGCCTCAACTCTTTCAAAAAGAAACCCCAGATAATGGGATCGTACGTCGCTCCCACATGTAGTAAAGTCCAAGAAGAGACTGCCTATGGCACGGCTGCCTGATCCTGGAGGCTTCTCTGTGAGTCAGGTCTGGCTAAGAGGAAGGAACCCTATCAACGTTCAGGGCAGCACAGTTCACAATCAATAATAGCAGCAAGACTCTGAACAGCCATCAATAGGCGAACAGGTGAAACGTGGTTCCCATGCACCACTGAAGAGAAACACAGGTTTGGGGCGCACTGTAACGTGGAGGAACCTGGAAAGCATGGCACTGGGTGTGACCCGTCAGTCACAGAAGAGACCACAGTGTACTTGTCACTTACATGTCCCAGGCAAAGGTGTAGGGACGGGAGTTCCTGGTGGTTATCAGGGGTAGGAGGGAGAAAGGGGAAAGGGAGTCTCAGTTTATGGAGACACCGAGTTACAGATAACGGTGGTAGAATACGGTTGCGATGGACGGTGCTGATGGTGGCACACGGCAGCCATAACCAGTGCCACTATGGTTACGCGCCAAACACATTCCCCTGGCAAATGTATGCTTACTCACTATTGCCTTTCACAGCATCATAACATGGAACACACTAACTAGCCCCACATGGAAAAGCTTGGCTGTCTGGGATGTGTTACGTTGCAAAAGCCCAGGGAGCACAACAAGACAATTACGTAAACAAATCAATAATCTGGCTAAGAAGGTCCGCTGTGGAAGGATGGGAGAAACCAGCATTCCCAGTCGGCGGCGGTGGCCATCGTGAGATTCAAGCTCCTTTAACGGGGGTGGAGTGAGTTGGGGTAGTAAGAAAGCATCTGGTCAAGGGCTCAAACTTTTGTAACATTTCTTTCTTTCCTGTGAGGAAATAAGGATGGATGGAGAGGAGGGGGAAGGTGGGGAATCCCCTCCAATTGCACTAGGGTTTTCAAACGCCACTTTCTAAGCAAAGGGTGGTGGATTTCAAAGCCCTACAATGCCTGGCAAGTTCTGTGTGGCGATAACGGGCACCTCCTGATCGGATCACTGGCACGAAGGTGTCTCCAAAACGCTGCTCTTTTCTTGCAGGGTAATTAGGAGGGGCCTACTTATGGAATCCAGAGAGAGCAAAGGAGGAGGACATATGGGAAGCGATTAGGGGATTAAGGGATTACAGAGTGTGCCTGGTATTAGCACGTCTGTGGGTTGTGTCCCTGGGTTTCCCAAAGAGTCATCAGAAATTCATTTCAAACAGCTCAACTGTGTGCCTTTTACATAGACTGTTTTAAAAGGCCGAGATCATGAGGAGGCATTTGCTTATTCACTAAGATTTACACGAGGTCTACCCACACTCAAAGGACGTGTTACTCAGGACACTGCGTTTATACTCAACTCGATGTCTTTGCTACTTCCACCTCCCAATGTCCAGGCTCAATTCCTTCCCTTGGGAAGAAACGTGAACAGCAAACAGCATGAGTTCGAGATTCTTCAAGTGGAATCAGGACAGTGGACTTGAACTTGAAACTTACAGGAAACTGACAACTGCCCTTCAAACTACTCCACGTGCTTAACCTAAGACTAATAAAGGTTAAAGTAAAAATCAGATCAAACAAATCAAATGTCAAAAGTGTATGGCAGCATGATAAATGAACTGTTGATAATAGTGAAGCTCACTAAGGACATACAACCACTCCTCCCCTCTCACACACAAATCAGCCTCTCACAAATAGCAGCGGAAAACGATAGAGACGACAATGAGCTTCATGAATCTTCGTAATCAGCCATCATATTCAAGTCTTTGTAGTTGAAAGAATTGGCCTCGCTATATCTAACAATAAGGCAAACATTAATGCTGCAAACTCTGCTGTGGTAAAGCACGAAACACCACCAGGTCCACAAGCCTCCCAATCTGACCCATCAGAATCCTGTAGGACAGAACAGAACTGCTCCAAGGGTTTCGGCGGCTGCACATCTTTACAGGAGCAGGAAGCCTCATCGTTCCCGCACGGAGGGGCGGGG